CAGAGGCAATTAACATACACCCAACGAATACTATAACACATCCTCCAACTACAAATGATACAACTTGAATGGCAGTTGCATATTCTTTTGGAATGAAATCAAATCTCTTAATACCAGACATGATACCAATTAGGAGAATGATCAAAATGGCCAACATGACAAATAATGTGGCAATAATGGTCATTGAGGTTCGAATAATTTTGGAGGTTTCCTTAGTGATGGCTCTCATCAGTGTAGCTGTACTCCAACTAGTATTTGTGTGTTAAAATATTTTGGAAATTCGAATACTTACAACATGTTTTGAACGAAAACAATGATTGAAAACAGTGTCAAGAAATTACTTGTCATTGTAAAACTGTTCAGACCAAGAAATACTTGCATGGCAATAAATAATTTCCATTCAATTAATTGTCCTGCTTCAATCTTTTCTCTGATGACTAATTGTAAGGTTTCGTTTACAACTCTTACAAGTAAACTAAATATTTGAACTGTTACATAAATACCAGTCATAATGAACAGTATCGTTTGGTTTCTCTTTAGTTTCAGTTTTCTTGTAACTCTAATGATGAATCCAATAAGAACAAAAATGTAAACTGAAAAGAGAATGAGAAATATTATTGTATTCGAAAGCACTAAACCACTGGCCCAAATAGGTTTCATTTGATCCAAGGTAACATTCGTATAACCTTCACCATTTACAATTACTGATGATGAATCTAATAGTGCAAATAAACGTTCTGACATTTTTTGTATGATTATTTGTAGATGTTGGTTATTGTGTTGTTCTTGAAAATGGGTATCGATGCTAGATCATAGATTCGAATATCTTCTCTTTATAGAGAAGGGAAAATAATCATGACTATTTGAAATCAAATTAGTAGAAATGAAAACATGATTGGAAGGAAGCTATCAATTCTATATTTATTCGAATCTATTTATTAGGACGAGCCAAAAAAGTACAAGTCGAAAGGTCATACACATCAGTTCATTACCAACATTTCTGCAAAAAACATTTGGCTGATGTCCAGTAAAGAGGCAGATGGAATGTATTCTTTTCTCCTGTCTGAAATAATCTCAGTACTATACCCAATTGTCTTTATTTTATCGAAACATATGCTCAAAAAAATTGTCATACTATGGTCCCACCCTTGTCCACCCTCAAAGGTTCTATCCTAATACTTTAGAATGTGATTTAACCAATTCTCAATTATTTAACTGGAATAAATTTTGAAACGTGCAAATTTGAAACTGTCTTTTAATTTGTTCAGATTGATTTAATTTTTTCTAATCCAATCCGCTACCCGTTTTGTCGCCTGTTCTTGAACTTCTAAACTAAACACCAGTAGATCTGTTTTACCATCCACATAGGCATCTTTTGCGAGACTTAAACACTCACTAAACAATCTGTCAGCTACTCTGCCATTGTACTGTTCTAATCTAGTTTGTGGAATTTGGGTTTCTAGTAATTGCAAGAGATGCTCTTCTTCAAATTGGATAAGATTATCTGGATGTTCTATGGAATACTTTTTAACCAACAAGACCAATATGTTGACGATATCTGAATATGATAAAGCAGAAAATGTAATGTGTTTTCTAATTCTAGATTTCAATCCTGGGTTAATCTCTATGAAATTAGCAATTTCTTGGTCATAGCCTGCAAAAACAATAATTGGAGTATCGTCTTTGCCACTAGTGAGTTCCGTCATGATAACCTCAATACATTCCTTTCCAAAATCATTGCTTGATTTTCCTCTTGAAAGAGAGTATGCCTCATCAATAAACAGCACACCACCTCTGGCTTCATCAATCACCTTTTGAGTTTTTGGTGCTGTGTGTCCTACATATTCACCAACAAGATCGGNCCTTCCCACTTCTTTGACAACATTCTTCTTGATAATTTGGAGCTTGTGAAGAATATTAGAAACCAATCTAGCAACCGTTGTTTTGGCAGTTCCTGGTGGTCCTCTGA